GCGGGGCCGGCGGGGCGCGGCGCATGGCCGGGGCGGCGGCGGGGGGCATCGCCACCCTGCCCGACGACGGCGGCGGCGGCGCCTTCCCCCCCGGGCACTTCAAGGACCCCAAGCGGCTCTACTGCAAGAACGGCGGCTTCTTCCTGCGCATCAACCCCGACGGGAAGGTGGACGGCGTCCGCGAGAAGAGCGACCCGCACAGTGAGTGTGTCCCGGGCACCGCCGCGCTCGGGGCTGGGGGCGGGCGGGCGGCTGCGAGCCCGGGCAGCGGGGCTGCGAGAGGGGCCGCGCCTCGGCCGCCGGCCCGCCCTGCCGGAGCCTCGGCAGCGAGCCTTGCTTGGGAAGCGCCCGTAAAAATGTCTCGTGTATGAATAAACGCGTGTGTGCGCCGATGTCCAGAGCGAACTCGCACGCACGTACCGCGCCGGCTGGGATGTCCCGGCGAGGAGCCTCGCTGGCCGCTCCGCCTTCAACCTGCCGGGTACAGAGCTCATCCGGCGCACAGAGGCTCGCTTCTGTGCTTGAAGGTGTCTGAGCTTGTTTGCGTGGCCCTTAAAGGGGTGTAATGGCACTTGACCACTTCACACGGCGGCGGGGAATGCTTGAGATGCGTCAAGGTAGAAAGGAGGTGGTTCTTTCTTCCAGCGCGGGGAAGTGCTCGTGAATAGGAGTACCCTTACAGGCATACAAGTACTCTTACGAACAGAGGTGTAAATCTGTCCAGGGAAACAGGGTTTGTAACAAAGTGCTGTCAGAACACCTTTTTTTTTTTTTTTTGTCTTAAAATGTTGCACGTTTTGATTTTTTTTTTTTTTAAACTTAATTAAGGATGTTTTAAATACAGATAAAACTTAGGCATTCCAGCAACAGCAGTTTTCCCCTCCATACCTGATCTCTGGGGGGAGGAAGAGGCTCCTGAGCTGGAAACACAGGTTGAGTGGTTGGTGTGGTCTGAGTGCCCACTCTCCGACAGCCAGGCTTACAGGGAGCGTGTGGCAGGTCGCTGTCACAAACACAGGCTGCTCTTCGTCCCAAGAACAAAATGCCTTTTGCAGACCTCAGTTTTGAAAGTATTCAGTATGGAGGGTTTGTGGATGTAACAGTGAGTTTTTGATGTGCCCATGAGGCGTTTCTTCCAAAGCAGGTACAGGGAGCTGCTGCATAGCCTGTCTGTCAGATTGTCCCAGTGCAATTCCTGGTTTGAGAGAATTTATTACTGTTCAGAGTGTGCAGGGCCTGCCTGCAGGCACTTGGCATGAAGAGCAGGTGAAATGCCTTACTGTGATCCTTCATCTGCTTTGCACCTGTGCTCTGAGTGATGGATGCAGGGACCAGGCAAAAATCAGGGGACAAAGATGAGAAGGAAGTGAGGAGACAGACCAAAGATTCTTAATATTAGTTTCCACTCTGGACATTCACCATTTGCAAAACAATTGGTTTTTCCCAATAATTCCAAAGAAATCCTGTAACAGAGCTTTCACAAATAACAATATTGCCAAGCTGGGCTTCAGTCTGAGGCTGTTCTATTTTGTGACTCTTTGATAGAAATACTGTACATATGACGGGCTGAAAATACGTGTGGAACTGTATATTTTGGGAAAGTTTAGCATCCTTTATTAGGCCAACAGGTATTCTTAGGAAAAGCTATAGGAAGCTTTCAGACTTGGTCCTATGCCTTTGCATTTCACCCTTTCTCAGGTACTGGTTTAAAGGGAAGCTTAGTCAAGTTTGTGTCAGTAGCAACAAAGGACATTTGTTGCCAATATAATGCAGTAAATGACTGAGTGTGGATTGTGAGGCGCTGATGCCTAAAGCAGAGCATTGATTCACCACGGAGGTGAGTGGCTTGTGTTTCACACAGACCCGTGGGTTACTGCACCGGATCAAGTCTGCACTGGAAAGGGTGCGGGGATATATTCATATTGCTTCAGCCTTCTGTATTTGGGAGATGTGGGAATCCTTACAGGAAAAAAGTCTCATTAGTTCATCAGACACGTCACCTGACCCCCAGAAGTAGCTGTGAAAATATGCTGGAAATGCGCAGGGAGATGATGTTGAGTTGAGGATGTTCAAGGCTGAAGGCAGGTCCCAGACATGGCCATGGATGTTGGGTTCTTGCCTCATTCCCTGATTTTGCTTTTTGTGGTGGAAAATGCCAGATAGTAGTGCATGTTGTTCTGTGCTCACTTGGCTGGGCCAGGCCGCCTTGACTGGACGTGATGTTTATTGTTGCCAATTTTTTCATCACAGAGCTCTCCCCTAATCATCTCGTACCCCCTGCCTTTTCTTATTATTCTGTCAGGAAAACTAACACTAGTTTTACATTCTTGAGTCTGTCTAATGTTGTATTTTCTCTTATCAATGCTAAAATTTTTAACTGACTTCTCATGCTACTTTTCTAGTAGTGAATTCTGTATGAAAATCTTTCTAGTTTTGGTGGTACTGCCTTATTCTTTCACCTTTCTGTTTTGCTCTATAGCTTTATTTTTGCTGTCATTTCTTTCGGGCTCTCCCTTTTGCCTCTGTACTTTTCCTTCCCTGTCTCTTCAGTACTATCTGATCACTAGTATTCTTTCCCCTTTCCTTTGGCACTTGTGTCTCTGAGGCTCCTCTCTCTTTTGACCTTTTTCCCTCTCGAATGAATGGTGCCAACAGGTAAAGGAAAACCTTGTAAATGGGTGATGTGGCCTCTGCCCTGTGCTGCAGCAACTCAGACGCCCCAGAGCTCCTGGGGTACCCTCAGGTTAGCACTCTCTGCCAGCTGCAGAAAACTCCTTTGTTTAAAAAGAGCAGTTTGTAAATGTGGAAGGCTGGTGGGATTTGCTTCCAACAAGCCCACCTGGGCACAGGAGTGCTGCCATGCCTGAGCTACTGCCACGCTCTCCTTTTCTCATTATCAGACAGCTCTTGGCTTGTTACTTTCTCTTTTTTCCTTTTTTTTCCCCCTTTTTTTTCCCCCCCTTTTTCCTGGAAAAACTCTAGTTCTGAGAATCAGAAAATAATCAGTGCTCGAAGCGTCAGCGAGGCGCGTTGCTGCGGCACTGCATGGTTCACATCCTCAGCATCCTTGCTGTAAATACGTCACTCTGCTGCACTCTGACCCACTGAGTGCTGCTCTGGGGAAGTCCCCGTGAAATCTCCTGGTATGCCTGGCTGGCATGGCAGATGGCAATAAATCCTGGGCAACGTGGGGAGACTTTTATATAAGGAAATTAGCAATGAAAATATTCACTTCGACTAACTCGTGGTCGTTTTTTTAGTTAAGCTAAAGGGTTTTGTAAGATGGTTTTGAGGAAAGAAATGCAATGACTGCAGAGAATTTGGTTTAGAAATAATTAAAAGACAGTTGGGAGAGATGCTTGTGGTAGCTGCTATTTTTATGAATTAATTATACAAAATGGCATTTCACTAGCATGTAATCCATTTTACTTTTAAAGGAAGTTCTTATTTTAGAAGGCAAATTACTACCTCCTTATGTTTCAGACCAAAGTTTAATACTATAAACAAATTTCCATGATCCACGTCCTTTTTTGGTGGCCCCTTTCTGCCTCTTGCACTCAGGGACGGCTTGTTTGTAACACACTTCTGGTTCATGTCCTGGCACTGAGAGTTTTTGTTCACCTTTGTTTATTCCTAATTGCATCGTTAATGAAATTAGGAATGGAAGTTGATGTCCACTGGAATTGGAATCGTGGGATTCACGCGGGACAATCCGTCCTACGTGGTCGATGTTGCCACATCAGATGTGCCTGGTGCAGTCACTTCAGTGAAGTGCCCCTTTGGACACACTCTGGGGACTCTGTTCCCAGTTTTTTTTCCTTGAAGAGGTAGTTTGAGACAAACAAGAAACAGAAGGCACTTTCTGAGAGTTTTGTTGTTTAAAGCAAAACAAAAAACACGGCTGTTTTGTTGTTGTTGTTGATCAACAACTTCTGATTTATGCCCTGGAAAATTTACAAAGAACACAGTGTTTTTGGAAAGGCTTTTAGAAACTCTCCAGAGGTGTTTCCCTCAAAGAGGCTACAGTGCCAGCGAAGGGGAAAAGCACAGGGAATGGAAAGGGAATGCTTATCCATACATTTAGAAAATGTCTAATAGCACAGCTGGTTCCCTTCACAGTTTCCCTCACTGAGGAATGGTTGGCATTTATATATTTCCATAATTTCTCAAGCAGCTTTGCTTCATGATGAGCATAAACCAAGACTGTGTCCAAGGAATCCCGAGCCATTCTCATCCACTCCTTAATGAGGTGACAAGGTTCCAGCCTCTCGCTCAGATTCAACAGTGTGAGCTGAATCAACCCTGCATATGTCTGAAATACCTTCTTTCTGCTCAGTACCTGGCTCCTCTTCCGTAAATGTCTGTAGAAAATGTAAAATAGGGTAATACTGGTCCAGGAAAATTTCTTCTTAGGGAAGTTCCTTTCATAAGTCGTTGTTAATGTTAAGTTTTTGACTTGTCTCTTAGACAACATTTAAATGGCTACTGTCTAAATATTTTGAAAAGACTCTATTGAAAGTATAGGCTGACTTTCAGAGTCAAGACAGTGGAAATCTGACCGTTGCTCATGCGGTGGAAGAAAACTAAGGGGGGTCCTCAGAAAGAAAAGGTTGAGCAAATGTCAGGAAGTGTTTTAGTATGTTCAGTGCCTAGTGTTTAGGTTTTTATAGGTGCATAAGTTGTTTGAGAGTTGGAAGACTATGAACATTTGGTGTCCCACAGATGTGGCTGGAGGTGTTGACAGGGTACCCACCCTGTTCCAAATCTTAGCACTAGGTGAGAGGTGACTTTTCTTTAAAAAAAACCCTGCCCCTAAATGTTCAAATCTTCTGCCCAAGTCCTTCTGAAAATAGACTCTTTTTGCATTACTTTTGATCTGTTGCACAGACCTTCACTGCTTTGCCAAGTACTAACTCTTTGCGACACAGTCAGCACAGAAATTCCTCCCAGCTCTGCAGTGTAGCTGGTTTTAGGGAATGAGGTAGCAGAGACCCCCTGTGCAAAAAAGTTGAGGATAAGCTTCCTTTGCTTGCTTTGTCATAGAAACCATCATGTCTTCTTGTCTGTCATCGTGTCTGCTAATCCTCTGTCCCAGATCTTACTGAGTCTTGCCCACCCCGAAGGTGTGTGACCAAGTAGTGGGTACACTCTGAAAATGGATCAGGACAATCCGAGATGTCTCTGGTGGACCATGAACTGTC